TTGAATGTATCCCGATAGCACCCCACTAAAGGGTTGAAAAATTCAAGTTCTGTTAGTTTTTTTTATATCTAATTTTTTGGAAAAAAAAAGAAAAAATCATGAAAAAAGCCATATCTCGAAAATCATAGGGATTTGAGCAGTCATAATTGGACGCCAGATTTGTAGCCCTCGAAATTACCCCGAAAGCACCCCACTGAAGGGTTGAGAAATTTAAGTTCGATTAGTTTTTTATATCTAAGTTTTTTGAAAAAAAAAAAATCATAAAAAACGCCATGTCTCGAAAACCAAAAAGATTTGAGCAGTCATACTTTGACGCTAGATTTGCAGCTCTTGAGCGTACCCAGATGGGGCCCTAATACAGGGGGGTTGAGTAAATCGAAAATCAAGTTCGGTTACTTATTTTATATCTAAGTTTTTAGAGAAAAAATGAAAAATCATAAAAAACACTATATCTCGAAAACCATAAAGATTTGAGCAGTCATACTTGGACGCTAGATTTGTAGCCCTTGAATGTATCCCGATAGCACCCCACTTAGGGGTTGAAAAATTCAAGTTCTGTTAGTTTTTTTATATCTAATTTTTTGGAAAAAAAAAAGAAAAAATCATGAAAAAAGCCATATCTCGAAAATCATAGGGATTTGAGCAGTCATAATTGGACATCAGATTTGTAGCCCTCGAAATTACCCCGAAAGCACCCCACTGAAGGGTTGAGAAATTTAAGTTCGATTAGTTTTTTATATCTAAATTTTTTGAAAAAAAAAAAAAATTAAAAAAAACGCCATATCTCGAAAACCAAAAAGATTTGAGCAGTCATACTTTGACGCTAGATTTGCAGCTCTTGAGCGTACCCTGATGGGGCCCTAATACAGGGGGGTTGAGTAAATCGAAAATCAAGTTCGGTTACTTATTTTACATCTAAGTTTTTAGAGAAAAAATGAAAAATCATAAAAAACACCATATCTCGAAAACCATAAGGATTTGAGCAGTCATACTTGGACGCTAGATTTGTAGCCCTTGAATGTATCCCGATAGCACCCCACTAAAGGGTTGAAAAATTCAAGTTCTGTTAGTTTTTTTTATATCTAATTTTTTGGAAAAAAAAAGAAAAAATCATGAAAAAAGCCATATCTCGAAAATCATAGGGATTTGAGCAGTCATAATTGGACGCCAGATTTGTAGCCCTCGAAATTACCCCGAAAGCACCCCACTGAAGGGTTGAGAAATTTAAGTTCGATTAGTTTTTTATATCTAAGTTTTTTGAAAAAAAAAAAATCATAAAAAACGCCATGTCTCGAAAACCAAAAAGATTTGAGCAGTCATACTTTGACGCTAGATTTGCAGCTCTTGAGCGTACCCAGATGGGGCCCTAATACAGGGGGGTTGAGTAAATCGAAAATCAAGTTCGGTTACTTATTTTATATCTAAGTTTTTAGAGAAAAAATGAAAAATCATAAAAAACACTATATCTCGAAAACCATAAAGATTTGAGCAGTCATACTTGGACGCTAGATTTGTAGCCCTTGAATGTATCCCGATAGCACCCCACTTAGGGGTTGAAAAATTCAAGTTCTGTTAGTTTTTTTATATCTAATTTTTTGAAAAAAAAAAGAAAAAATCATGAAAAAAGCCATATCTCGAAAATCATAGGGATTTGAGCAGTCATAATTGGACATCAGATTTGTAGCCCTCGAAATTACCCCGAAAGCACCCCACTGAAGGGTTGAGAAATTTAAGTTCGATTAGTTTTTTATATCTAAATTTTTTGAAAAAAAAAAAATCATAAAAAACGCCATATCTCGAAAACCAAAAAGATTTGAGCAGTCATACTTTGACGCTAGATTTGCAGCTCTTGAGCGTACCCTGATGGGGCCCTAATACAGGGGGGTTGAGTAAATCGAAAATCAAGTTCGGTTACTTATTTTACATCTAAGTTTTTAGAGAAAAAATGAAAAATCATAAAAAACACCATATCTCGAAAACCATAAGGATTTGAGCAGTCATACTTGGACGCTAGATTTGTAGCCCTTGAATGTATCCCGATAGCACCCCACTAAAGGGTTGAAAAATTCAAGTTCTGTTATTTTTTTTTACATCTAATTTTTTGGAAAAAAAAAAGAAAAAATCATGAAAAAAGCCATATCTCGAAAATCATAGGGATTTGAGCAGTCATAATTGGACGCCAGATTTGTAGCCCTCGAAATTACCCCGAAAGCACCCCACTGAAGGGTTGAGAAATTTAAGTTCGATTAGTTTTTTATATCTAAGTTTTTTGAAAAAAAAAATCATAAAAAACGCCATGTCTCGAAAACCAAAAAGATTTGAGCAGTCATACTTTGACGCTAGATTTGCAGCTTTTGAGCGTACCTTGACAGGGCCCTAATATAGGGGGGTTGAGAGAATCGAAAATCAAGTTCGGTTAATTTTTTTCTTTCTAAGTTTTTTGAGAAAAGAATGAAAAATCAGAAAAAACACCATATCTCGAAAACCATAAGGATTTGAGCAGTCATACTTGGACGCTAGATTTAGAGCCCTCGATTGTACCCCGATATCACGCCACTTTAGGAATGAGAAATTCAAGTTCAGTTAGTTTTTTATATCTAAGTTTTTGAAAAAAAAAATGAACAAATCATAAAAAACGCCATATCTCGAAAACCATAAGTATTTGAGCAGTCATACTTGGACGCTAGATTTGCAGCTCTTGAGTGTACCCCGATAGCACCACAGTATAGGGTTGGAAATTCAAGTTCGGTTAATTTTTTTTATATCTAAGTTTTTTTTGGAAAAAAAAGAAAAATTTTTAAAAAACGCCATATCTCGAAAACTATAGGTATTTGAGCAGTCATATTTGAACGCTAGATTTAGAGCCCTCGATTGTACCCCGATAGCACGCCACTTTAGGAATGAGAAATTCAAGTTCGGTTAGTTTTTTATATCTAAGTTTTTGAAAAAAATAAAGAACAAATCATAAAAAACGCCATATCTCGAAAACCATAAGGATTTGAGCAGTCATACTTGGACGCTAGATTAGCAGCTCTTGAGTTTAGCCCAATAGGTTCCCATTATACGGATAAAAAAATCAAGTTAGATTAGTTTTTTTTATATATCTAAGTTTTTTGAAAAAAAGGAAAAAAATTTTTAAAAACGTCATATCTCGAAAACCAAAAGGATTTGAGCAGTCATACTCAAACGCTAGATTTGCAGCTCTTGAGTGTAGCCCAATAGGTTCCCATTATACGGATAAAAAAAATCAAGTTAGATTAGTTTTTTTATATATATCTAAATTTTTTGAAAATTTTTTTTTTAAAAAACGCCATATATCGAAAACTATAAGTATTTGAGCAGTCATACTTGGACCCTAGATTTGCAGCTCTTGAGCGTACCCTGATAGGGCCCCAATATAGAGGGGTTGAGAAAATCGAAAATCAAGTTCGGTAAATTTTTTGATATCTATTTTTTCTGGGAAAAAAAACAAAAAATCATAAAAAAACCATTCTCGAAAACCAAACAGATTTGAGCAGTCATACTTGGACGCTAGATTTGCAGCCTTTGAGGGTAGCCTGATAGTACTCCACTATAGGGTTGAGAAGTTCAAGTTTATATCTAAGCTTTTTGAAAAAATAGAAAAAATTTTTAAAAACGCCATATCTCAAAAACTATAAATATTTGAGCAGTCATATTTGAACGCTAGATTTAGAGCCCTCGATTGTACCCGAAAGCACGCCACTTTAGGAATGAGAAATTCAAGTTCGGTTAGTTTTTTATGTCTAAGTTTTTGAAAAAAATGAACAAATCATAAAAAACGCCATAGCTCGAAAACCGTAATGATTTGAGCAGTCATACTTGGACCCTAGATTTGCAGCTCTTGAGTGTAGCCCAATAGGTTCCCATTATAGGATTGAAAAAATCAAGTTAGATTAGTTTTTTTATATATATCTAAGTTTTTTTGAAAAAAAAGAAAAAATTTTTTTAAAAAACGTCATATCTCGAAAACCAAAAAGATTTGAGCAGTCATACTTGTACGCTATGTTTAGAACCCTTGAGTGTACCCCGATAGCACCCCACTATGGGGTTGAGAAATTCAAGTTCGGTTAATTTTTTTATATATAAGTTTTTTGGAAAAAAACTTACAAAATCATAAAAAATCCATATCTCAAAAATCATAGGGATTTGAGCAGTCATACTAGGACGCTAGATTTGTAGCCCTCGAAATTACCCCGATAGCACCCCACTGTAGGGTTGAGAAATTTGAGTTCGATTAGTTTTTTATATCTAAGTTTTTTGAAAGAAACAAAAAAAATCATAAAAAACGCCATATCTCGAAAACCATAAGGATTTGAGCAGTCATACTTGGACCTGAGATTTGCAGTCCTTGAGTGTACCCTGAAAGCACCCCACTATGGGGTTGCGAAATTCAAAATTATTTAGGTAAACTGTGAAAGAAAAACTGTGATAATTATACGTTGCGAATAAAGAAAAAATGTAAAGAGTTTTGAAGCATTCGAGCTCCATTAGATTACGAAACGCTGACTTGAGTAAACTTTTCAACTCTCGCATGTTTTGACCTTTTAACAGACCAACATAAGGACTTCTCAAACCTGTGCTAAATGAAATTTCTTGAGCGTTTTAATATACGATATAGCTTAAACGTGCAAAAAAAACACTTTCGTTAAACATGCAAAAAATAATACGCTGAAACATTTAAACATGCAAAGATAAGATAGAGTTCTCTTAAATATGTCAACATAGGGACTTCTTAAACATGTGTCACATGAAACGCCAATTAAATAATAGATAGAGATAGATAGATAGAAAATAGATAGATAGATAGATAGATAGATGGATAGATAGATAGATAGATAGATCGATAGATAGATAGATAGATAGATAGATAGATAGATTACTAAAACGCTAATTTGAACTATTTTCAGTTGTTTTCCGAATCTAACAAAAAAATACGATTGATTTTTTCTAAATTGCACAATTTTGCTGGTTCAGAGAAACATTGTTAAAAAATTAATTTTCACCATACAATATCGATAATACAGTACCTAGAGTGGAAATTACACGTTATCAATCAACATAAGACGGTCAAAAAATTTCGATGGGCTTCATTTCTTGAAATCGTTCCCACTGGAAGCCAGATTCTGTCCCATTCCACTCAGCACAATATGTGCAGCTCCTAATGATTTCTGCTTTTCCCGCATAGTCGCAACCATATGCAAAGGAGTATCATCACTCGACATACCCTTCAACTTTCTTTCTTCTTCTATCTTTTTCATGCGTTTGAACGTTTTCAGTTTCCCGCTGCCTTTTCCGTGAAATTTATGGGACAAATCCCTAAATGCTTCCTTCTCATTCAGTTTTCGGCCTGACGAGTCGTAGTATTCCAAATTGAAATTCGGTCTATATGAATTGTCATCTCTGAATTCTCTCAAGGACACTCGATCTCGGTCCTCTTTTCGACTCCATTTGTCCTCGATGTGCTTTGCACTTTTGTCTTCAATCGCGTATGACGGGTTAATTTTACTGCCAGCCTGGGTTAGTTGACCCATTGACCGAGTTCCGCCCTCCTTTTCCAGGTAGCCTTTATGCTTCGCCAACATCAACGCTCCCAACACTCCTGCGTTGACTTCCGGCTCTTCAGTCAGCGCTGATTTGATCTTCGTTTTGCTCCCAATTTGCTCGCCTAGAGTTCGGTTATCTCGCTCTATATTGTCCCAGCCTTTATTAACATCCATCTCTTCATTGTCACTACTTTCATCTTTCATGGCAAACTCTTCCAGCTCTCGGTCCAGTTGAGATTTCATAGACTCCGGTTCCGTTTTCACCTTCACCTCTTGCTTATTTAACTCCGAAACTGCTCTGCAGAATTCAGCGGTGTTATCAAAAACCAACTTTTTCTGCTTGTCATCCTCTTGTTCTTCAATTTTGCTTGCATTTCGGAGCTTTTCCGCAATTCGCAAAGCTGCGTCTGACTTCTTTGCTAAATTCTGAGCAATTACTCCTGTTTTACTGATGCTCGATTTTATATTAACATCGTCCTCAAGTTTGATAGGTGCCGTAGTCCCGTTCCAGTCACCTACTAATTCGTCGCCAGATAACATTTCACTGTCCTCGATTTCTTGTTTTCTTGACCTCGATAACCTGCTTCCATGATCTCTGCTTGAATCCTCTGTCATTTCTTTCAAAAGATCATCAGCTGTAAGTCGATTACGAACTTTCTTCGTCTTGCGCTTCCGTTTAGTAAATTTAGCAGCTGCTTCCTCTTGTGTGTAATAATCATGCGCTAATTTGGCTTCGGGCATTGCAAGGGAGACTGTTTTGCTTTCTAGTTCCTTTCTGACCATCTGACGGTATCTTGCTTCTTCGTCATCTATTTCGCCGTCCGCTCCTATTTTGAAAGTCCTTGTGTGCTCCCCATCAATGACATCATCGTATTTCCCCAGCAGCGACTGCATTTTTGGTAAACCAAATTCATCAAACTCTTCATGGTCGAACGCTTGATAGTCTTTGCCTTTCCGTTTTAATTCTACATTTTTAGCATGACGCTCACTGTCTTTTATGTTCAAATTGATCAGCACATCTTCATCGTCCTCCTCCAAAATTTTCTTATCTTTCAAAGTTAAAATAGTTTCTTGTCCTTCTAGAAATTTATCAACTGAATGTTCAACTTTTAAGCCAGTTAAACTTGTTGAGCTATACTTGGACTTTTTTGACACTTTATCCAAATCTTCGTCCAGCAAGTAATCCAGACCAAATTCATCCCCTAATGCATTCAATTGTTTCTCTTCCTTTTCTTCTTTGATCTTCTTTTCCTGCAGGCGTCTAGACTTTTCCACCCAATCACTTGCTGCTATTTCATCGTCGTCCTCTCCTAGTGTCGCAATATTCTTCAGTCGCTTCTTCTCAATCTCTCGTTTATCTTTTAAAACTGCCAACTTTTCGCGCATTTTTTCGGTCTTTTTATCATGAGTTAGACTTGACGCTGGGGCCCAAACAACGCCGTCTTCAAGCAGTTTTTGCCCATCCTCGGGTAAAGTTCCCAAGTTTTCATCTGTTGAGGGTTTGTTTATTTCAAGGGGCGCCAAGCCCAACTTTGCGCGCAGAGCATTGGTTTCAGCTACACTCAGAGATTCGCTTCCATTTGATGCACCCGAACCATCTTGAGGTTTACCGGTGCTAAAATCAGAAATTTTAGATCCATTTTTAATTGAATTTTTGTTCCGATCTCCATCATCGGATGAAGAATGAGAACTTACTGATCTTTCCTTCCGGCGATGTTTCGATCGATCACTTTTGCGATCTTTTCTCCGCTTCTTGCTTTCCCTCCCTCCAGATCGAGATCTAGATCTCGATAGTGATCTGGAATTTTCTCGTTGCCTACGTCCCATCCACTCCTGAAAACATTCACAACTTTAGCCCAATTGTTGTTATAAAATGTTCTTTGACAACCTTATATGTGTGCCATTCTGCCAGATAGGCACAGCGCAACCTTCCGGCGACACGAAAGAAAACGAATAAAGGCCTTAGTTACGAAAAATTATTGCGAAGGAGGGTAGGAATATTCTAGAATTTTTATTTTTAAAATTTCGATCGAAGAGTGAATATTTCTGAGAAATAGAAAAAGACGGCCATTTTGACGGAAAAGGACGAAAAAACAGAACAACGACAAATATTGTGGAAAACGGTCGCACAAGAGACGAGAAATACGAAGCCTCTTATCGTGGCAACAACACACGATAAGACTCTTAGCAGTGGATATTAGTGGAGAAGGAAGCTACAGTGGGGAAGGAATATTCCACAGAACCCTCCCGTGCCACAAATTGGGAGAGATAACAGCGTTATCTCGGGAAGATTACGGGAGCGGAGGCTTGGTCCCCCAGAGACTGTTGTATGTGAACGTGAAGGGACTATATAAAACTGACTTTGTAGCTACTTGGATGTCGTAGAACTCTGAATTAACACCGGTATAATTTGATATTTTAGAATATGAGTAGCTAGAAAGAGGAAAGGGTCAATCCATCTCCAATGGATTTAATATAGAACTGTCACACAAAAACATATTAAAATAGGTTGTTCGAGCCGTGTTTTTAATAGCACTCACGTAGTCTGAGGATCCGAGGCTGTGTAGTATTTGGGCGAATGTTACTATGTACAAATGATTTGAGCTAGAGTCGAAAATATTTGTTTGTTTTGAGCTCCGATGAACTTTCCAAAGTCCCAGCCGCCTTAAGATAAGGGTGGGTAAAGATTATCCCTACTTTTCCCCATTATCTATGATACAAATCATTGGAGCACATTATTGGATTGAGCTATTAAGTGGGAACCCAACCCATTCACAACTACTACAAGGAAAAGCTTTTACAGTTCCTGGCCTAGCTTTAACCCAAAACAAACTCCTTCAAACCAAATATTTCGGAGAGTCTGCCTATCCGAGGAAACATCCCCGATACATAAGAGCCTTTCATTTAACACGACTCTGCCGATTCAACTTTCCGAACGAACGTGTGTGCTTGGGCGGGAAACGATACAAGTTTCAAACTTCCTAGTTTTTCGCTATAACAACAATTAACTCACTACGACAGTTACCTAGTTCACATTGCAGAAAAACCTGAGCTTTGACTCCGAGTATTCAATAAACAACGAAGAAACGATTGCACCCTCAGTCAGACTTTCACCCTCAATGAGACAAGCGATTGCAACATCAGTGAGTTGACGCACTTGCGTGACCTTCCAAGCGGAATTAACAACTTTCTATGCCTGTTAATTCTTTTTATTATGAGAGCTCTACAAATTTGGAACAACATACAAGGAGACAATATACTCGCGAACGCTCTAACATATATAAAATACAATAAAAATCAGACTTGAGAAGTTTTTTCATAAGCTTAGAAGAAAATAAAACAAGGGCCGCCAATGGAAAAATGTTATATATCAAATTAAAGCCTTTTCAGCCCTGATTCGCAAACGTTTCAAAACTTTCAAAAAATTGTCCCAGAGTCGAGAGAAGTGGTATAAAATAATTCAGTTTTAGTTCAATTTCGAGCAAGTAAAGCATGCTTTGAAGACTTTAATAGAAAATAGGCCATGAAATTTAACTTTACTCTAGTTTTAGTTCAGTGCCGTCCCGTCTAGAATGCCGATCAATGTAACAGTCGCCTACTGCAGTCACATATGAGGCTTAAGAAAAATAGGCCCTATAACCACTGGCTCAAGGGTCAGGGACACTATCTCTTGTGTTTTTCTACCTCAAGAACGGTCGGAGCCAGTTCGGTTCGCTTGCGACATGAGACTAGAACTCGCTACAGCTTGAAGGCTACTACCAAAATAACCCCCCACTCTAGAAAATAAGAACGTCCCCATACTTAGGTCTCAAAATACCCAAAATACGCGAACGCCGTTAAAAACAGGGTCGGAACAATCCGTTAAGTTACTTTTTATTGGACAGTGGAATTTTGATCCATTTCAGATGGATCAACCTAAAACTCACCTTATCTCAACATAGCAATTATAAAACACACTCGAGAAATTTAAATTGGGAACTCACATGTCGATGTACTCGAGCACAAGGAATAATTAAATTGGTAAGCAACTCAAGAATTAGGTAATATAACTAAGTAAGTTTGATACTGGTCAGTTTTGGTAACAGAAGTAAGTTCTGGCTCCAGAATTTGAGTTTTTGTATGAACCATTGGGACACTCAAGCTGTCCACCTTTCCATTGAAGGCTCACTCTAGTTTGTTCCGAATCGTTGTTCTCTCTTCTTTTTGTTATCTCTCCTTCTATTCCGGGATAAGACAGCTCTACTCGTGTCCTATTTTATATCTAGAAATTGCGAATAGCAATTTCCCGCTGTTTTTCTTGAGTATTTTCCCGCAATTGTAAATTCGGATGTTCTGATTTTTCACTTTTTGTTTTCAGTTGGTACGAGAAAACTAAGCATGACAGGCTCTATTGGAAATTTTGAAAATTAAAATTCCCCTCCAAAATTACGTATTTTCGTGTCTCTCAAGGTCAAACTTCCAGACATGACCGACTGGCACATACTCCCCGGACTCAAGATCGATGTCCTCATCGCGTGCTGTTTGTCAGTGAATCCCCAGAAGCCCGAGTGTCACTCAAGATACAGTGCCAGTGGTCATTTACAGAAGTTTGCAGCAGACTTAAGTTTATCTACCTTCCAAAATTCACGACCATATAAAATTTTCACACTATCGCTAAACAGCAATCAAAATCTGCACACACCTGCACCTTATGAATTCCCGCTTTTTAAGCTGGTGATTTAAAATTTCTTTTGTCCTATCGAATCAGGAAATTGTCATGCAGCATTTTGATTTATATAATAGATCTAGCTTATTAATAACAAAATATTATTTGTTAAAATTTTTTTTTGGTGAACCCAGATTTCATCCGAGTTCACCCTCGAGCCCCCTCCCTCTCAAGACTCAAGACTCTAGAATTTCGTGATCCCTCCTCGTCCTCAGCTCACCCCTTGCGTGCTCCCTCCAGAATCCTCCAATCGTGACTTCGTTGGCTGCCGTGATGAACCTGCCAACCGTCATTTCCTTCTTTTCAGCCACTCCCAGCTGCTCCTCAAGAAAATCCCAGATCTGCTTCACCAGAGGCGGAGCATCTTCTCTTGTCTTATCCGTGGCGTTCTCCAGCCTTGGTATCAGGAAGGGCCACCTGCCTCCCTCTTGTGTCAGTCGATACACCATCGACTCCAGCTGCTTCTCTGATGCGGCCACGTTCTTCCTCTCGTTGCTCGGCCCTCTAGATTTACTGGTGGAGCTTGTTATGGTCACCTCCATGTTTCGAAACCACAGACTGGCCGTCAGGTGAGCCACCACTGGATGATCGTCCCCTATAATCGTACTGAGCTTGAGTTGCCTAGCAAAGTTAGATATCTCCAGCAAGAGAACCTCGTCCAACACGATGAGGATGTCTGCCAACTCGTGAAAGCCCCTCAACGCGTGGGACACATCCGCCCACGCCGCCGCAAGCTCTGACCTGCGAAGTCTCAAGTTTGTAGGTTCCAGTTCCCGATTGCGAGCTGCCATCAAAATACGCCATCCATTCCCTTCTGCTATCAAGATCAAGATTGCATACATAAATTGTAGAGCGGGAGGCATGCTCGCGTAGCCGGGGGACGTCGTGAACGACACTTTCGTCTTGGAGCCAAATCGTGAGGCAACGTTCTCTTGTACTTCATTCATGGCTGCAAATAATGTCTGGATGGCTTCCCAGATCTTCTTCGGCGTAGGTTCATCACCCTTGAGCTGCTCAAGAAACCCCGTCGCATGCAAGTGATCGTTCATCCCTGCAAACAGCAGCAGCTCAGGCTCGCAAGGCATCTCCGACTTTATTGCCATCACCAGGGTTAACATCTGGTTCAGCTCCGCTCCCGGCAATGAGTATATCAGAGTTTCCGACCAAAACAGATTGGGAGACGTTCCCTCAAAGTCCGATCCCGCTACGATGACCACCCTCGCTGCGGCTGGGTCCGCCCTGTCATAAACAGCTAAGGTCTTGGCCAGCTGCGTATTCCCGCAGGGTTTACCGTATCTGGGATCGTTGGCCAGTTTCGTGCCTTCATGCGCGCCGTCTGGTAATTCTATCTCCCTGGGATCCATCAGCTTGTCCACCACCCTCAACTGTGCTGGAGTGGCCACCCTAATCCTGGCAATGCTAGTTCGGTGTTTGGGAGGCTCCACTACGAATCCCGGACTCCCTAATGACTTGAGAGGTCTATAGTTAATGGGTCCCATCACCGATTTTGTGGGAATCCCAGTCAGATCCGCCGTCTCTGCTATTTTTGCTCTCGAGAAGTGTGTTTCGTGAGCCTTCAGCCAGTCCACACACTGGAGTCTGCCCAAGTCTTCGTGCGACACCTGCTCAAGACCGAAAGCTTTCGCTAACTCTAGCCTGCACTCGAGGTCCTCCAGGTCCAGCTCCTTGACCTTCTCCTCATATTTCAACCTCTTGGTCTCCACTGGTTTCTCCGGCTTTTTCTTCTCCGCCACCACCACCGAGGATATTATCGATCCCTGGGGCGTTGATGACGTTGCCTCATCAGCCTCGATGGGCGCAGCGCCCGGCAACTTGGTTCGGCTATTCCTCGAACTGTCTCTAGAATCAGCCATCGCCCCCAAGCGGCTGGACAAAGCTCTCGAGTTGAAGAAAGGTGGATTTGGCGGTGGTCCGAACGTGACCTGTGCCGTCTCTAGTAACTCTGTCTCCAACGCGTTTATGTGCCTTTGGAAGACGTCATTCAACAACTCCACCCCTCTGGGCCTATCAAAATGAATCCCATCCGTAGATGCGTCGTCAGGGAAAGCAGATAGCTCCATTTGCTCGGCCACGTCCAACAACCCAACGGGGAGGACGCTCCTTTTGTGTATCAGCCTGATTATTTCATTCAGGTTCCGCACCTTTGTGTTCATCTCCATTGCATGTTGATCCGCTTTCATGTTGTAAGGGACGGTGCACACCGTAAGAACGGCCGGATCCATTTGAATTCGCAATTCCTCGAGAATGCAGCTCATCTTGTCGTGCAGCCTCATCACATCCTTGCTTCCCCCCTAGACACGTCATTCGTCCCGATCATCAGTGTCACCGTATATACTCTTGCCATACCTAGCATCTCAAGTGTCGCCAACATCTGCGGCGTCGCGGCTCCAGCGAAACTCAAGATTCCCGTTTGCCAATGGGACTGGATCCGGGTCAATACCCTCAGCAAGCTGTCCCCTATGATCAAGTGGACCGCTCCTTCGGGCACACGTGGCTGCGTGAAGTATTCCACCCAAGCCGCGTTATGGAAGCAATCTCTCCTGTCCATATGCGCCGTGCTCCAGTCCATCCGATTGTGCCTATGGTATCTACCTTCCGTATTCTTTTTGTAACTCGAGATTACCACACTCCTGACAGGTTGTTCCCCCCACGTCGATGGCAGGTCCACTCTTGCTGGACTTTCGCGATTCCTTAGTTGTAGCCGCTCGTGCAATTCTTTCAGTCGTGACGAGCTACCACTCACTTGACTACTACCCGGGGTCGAACTTGGCGTATATCCAGGCAGCGCGACGTCCATCAACGGGCGTATTGCTTGTGTCTCTAGACCACGCAGGGAGGACGCTGATTCAGACGGTATCCACACCTCCAGCCCTTCGTTCATATGTTCTTGAGCAGCACGATCGAGGTTGAATCGTCCCTTCGACCTAGGAGCCTCATCCACCTCCATGCGTGACTCTGGCCTTGAGCCGGTCACCACCCGCTCTTTGGGCCTAGCCCCCTTCTGCATGTCGAGCTCACGCTGTCGCTGTTGAATCCTTTCAAGCTCTGACTTCAGCTGCTCGCAATTGGCGGCATTCTCCCGCACCCTTTCTGCCTGTAGCTGTTCAGCTCTCATCATGTCCAGTTCCCTCCGCGCTTGATCCCTCTCAACTTTTGCCTGGTCTCTCTCGAGCACCGCTTGATCCCGGTCGAGGTTCGCCTTGTTTCTCTCCCGCTGAGTCCTCTCAAGCTCTCTCTTCATGATGCTGACGTCCGGATATGCTTCCCCCGTCTGCTGTGCTCGAGACATCAATGGTGTCTTGCTCGTGCTCTGGCCCGTGGATCTGGCTGATGGTCTGGCCGGTAGTGGGAATTCCCCTGCTCCATACTCAGTGTTATTACTCAAGCCAGGGTTCCTTGCCAAATCGAACCCCCTTATTGTTCCATCCACATTTCAAGACAGCCACCTGGTTTGCTCTTGATTAGATATCCCATCGGTGGTGTAGCCCACCATCAAAACTGCTTCTGTCGCAGATTCCCGACACTCGCCCTCATCCTCCAACTGGAGGATGGCGTTCAACATCACTGCCATTCTCTCATCCACTTGAGTATAATCCAGGTCCATCAGACGTCTGTATAATTTGTCAAGTGTGGGTTTTTTCAAAGCCGTTGGCATGGACTTCCAGAATCGATCTGCCATTTCCGCAATTTCCAAATGATCTTGAGTATTGAGTTCTACCTGAGCAACTTGAGTATTACCTGAGCAACTTGAGTATAACCTGAGCAACTTGAGTATTATCTGAGCAACTTGAGTATTACCTGAGCAACTTGAGTATTACTTCTTGAGGTGTCGTTCAACTTGTGTTCTCTTTCTTCAATTAAATACAGTTGAGTAGTCAATTTGACTTTACCAAATCAATCTGAAAATAACACTCCATTTTTAGACTAGCAGGTGGTGTTTCTAACCTAAAAACCCCCTTTACTATTATCGTTAAAACCCTTTCCTTTCCGTCCTATTTAAAATAGTTCAATTGTAAATTTTCTAAAAACATGCAGATTCATTTTATGTTTTAGCACCATCAATCATTTAAAATGTTAATTGTCATGCCAATCACCTCTAAAATTCTCTTCCTATTTTGTACCCCCACACCTAACTCGAGATTCTTCCCTCATGCCCAACTCAAGACCCCCGCGTACCCGACTCAGGCGATGCTCAAGTAGTATTTCTTGTGAAGATGCACCATTATCTCAGTTTCTGCGAAGACCACGTGTAGGATAGCGTACAATTCCCTTGGGCTCAATTTCCCCCTGTTTGGGTCATACGCCGGCATTGAGACCTCCATTATCCCTCTTTCAATCATGAAGTCTCGTAGTCTCGTTAGTGCCAACATCACTTGTTCAGGATCGATCGTGTTTCTGTCATTGACCCTCGTCACTAGGAAGCACAGATATTTGCCCGGGACTTGTGCTACTGATGGTGGAAGCGCGGCCATTCCTCCCAGTCCCGCTCTCTGTCTATACAGAAACTCCACGTTCTGGTATTCTCTCTTGAAGTCTGCTTCCAGTCTTGATTTGAAACTCATGTCCGCCGTGATACAGATTGCGCTAGTCCTGTCTGACAAAATGAAGTCACTATCCGTTATCAGGATATTCTCTGAGTATTCGTTTGGTATTTCAAACTTCGTTTTGAAATTCCGTCCTGTGGTCGGCTCGGCCTCTTCCCCTTCCAGCTCCAGTCCGCACTTTTCTCTCACTTCTCTGAGTTTCTTTATCATCCAATTTTCGGTGTGGGTAAGTCCTACCCCCACTCCCCGGACAAAAATATTTATCGACGTCCCCGACGATGATGCTGGGTCCGAATTATCTGGCGGAAGGTCGAGCGGGCTGTCTGTTGCCGTCCAGCCGAAAAGAGGATCCTCCGTTTTCATGTACTTCGCCGCTGATATGTCAACTTACTGTATGCTCTGTCCTTCCTCGCTTTCGTTCTTGACATCGCGCATCCATTCTAATATCCTCAGGTTCGTATTCTCCCTCCTCTCTATCTCGCTCTGTTCTAAATCCGTCTCCCGCTCCTGCGTCGAGTAGTCTTCCTGTGGATAGTGTTCATTATCATTGATGATCTGCCATTCACCATCTGCCGCCAGCTCGCCCACACTTGTTAGTTCTCTGCTTAGGTCATCGGGCTTTATCTTGTCGATCAGGAAATCGTCTCCGTACCTGTTGTACCTCATGCCTGTGCGTTTGCGATTGCCACTCCTTGTCCCCGCTGCTATTGACAAGTCTGGTTCTGTCCACTTCGGCACCTCACCTTGATCCGGATCGTTCCAATCCTCCTCCACAAAAGATTCCGCTTCAGAGTCCGCGTCTAGTTTTTCGTTGTCATCCAAACTCAAGTTTTCATTGCCATCATTTTTATCTCTGGTGCCTTTCTCGTTCACTTCACATGCTGGTTCCACCAGTAGGTACTCTAGTCCCTCCATGTCTTTTGGTACACACCAGTCATCTGGGGATGAGATATGAGGCTTCAGGTTCTCATAATGCGCTGCTCGCCCAGTACTCAAGCGGTAGAACCGTCCTTGTTGATGTACTTCAGTTATCATGAATGGTCCTCTCCATTTCTTGGGTAGTTTCTTCGTCCCTTTGGGCGGTATCACATTCTGGAAAACCCACACATACTGGCCCACTTCATATGGCTTTGCCTGTAATATTTTTTCATCATATTTCTTGCGCTGTCTCATTTGTGCCTGCGCAGTGTTCCTCCTGCACAGCTCGTTAATTTCCTGCTGTCTCCTGATCGCCTCTTTCACGTAAGCTTGAGGCGACGTCCTCTTTCCTTCATACTCCGGGTAAAAGAACGTCAGGGGCATCGCTCTCTCTTTGCCTGTCAACATCATGAATGGGCTGATTCCCGTCGTTGAGTGTTGAGTACTGTTGTATGCCCCTACGACTTGAGGCAGATACTTATCCCAGTCCGTCATGTATCTAGAGCAGTATACCCTTAGCATGTTCACCAACGTTCTGTTCTGTCTCTCTACCAGTCCGTTGGTCTGAGGGTGGTAGGTAGTTGAGTGTGCTTGAGCTATGTGTGACCTCTTCATTAATTCCTTAGTCAAGTCCCCCACAAAGGCTTTGCCGTTGTCTGACTGAAAAGTCATTGGACAACCATACCTTGATATCCAATGGGTTATCAAGTGGTCACAATCCTCCTCTGCCGAAGCTGTTTGACACGGCACCGCCTCTGCCAGCTTTGTGAAGTGACCAATTATAACCAGTATCTGGTTATACCCTGAGTCCGTCATACAGATCTTCTGATGGTCTATTTGCACCACTTCATTAAATTCCGAGCTTTCCACCGACTTGACTGGGAATTTCATCTTCCTAGGGTCTTTCATTTGCAAACATGCCAGGCATGCATTCACCCACCTCTCACAGGTTTTCCTCAATCCTGGCCAATCGAACCTGTGAGGTATTCTTTGTTGCACTTTGTCTATCCCCTGGTGCCCCATTTGATCATGTGATCTGAACAGCACCTCTGTCTGATATAATTGTGGTAGTATGATGAGGTTGTGCTTGTGTAATATCTTGTCTTCTTCTTTTCTCTTGCATGCTACAACCCCATCAGCCGTGTGATAGAGTAACTCTTTCCTTTCTTTGTAGAACTGGCTCAGGATCTTGTAGCTGTCTTCCTCAAGTTCCCCTTTCTCCTTAGACCCCGTTCGGATCCATTTGGAGAGATTGCTTGTCATCTTGTCATTCTTCTGGGCTCTTACCAGGTCCGACAGCCTATATCTCGCTCTGACATGTTCCTTCAGCGCCATGATCTGTCCATTCATCTCCCCAGGGTTGTGGACGTCGTCATTCAGCTTCACGCATACTATCCTTCTCGACACCTTCATGTCGTCTTCCGGCACCAGATTTGTTCTCACATTCGAATTGCATGATAGCTCCCTGAATGGCTTCCTCGAAACTGCAATCCTTTCAAGTTCTTCACCACCTCGTATCTCCTGCATGTCCAAGTTGAAGGTTCCTGAGGACGGATCTATTTGTAGTTCCCTGTCGTGGTGTCTAAAATTTTCTTCTGCCAATATCATGCAGAGACAATCTTGATTGTCACTGCTCGCCTCCGAATCCACATCCCACATTTCACACTCCCCGGACAAATTTTCTCCTTCAGTGTTTTCTTCTTCTGTGGACGTGGACCGCTCCCCGGACTCTTGACCTGGTCCCAGGTATTCAGCTTCTTCCTTGAATTCCACTCTCTTTCTCCTGACTCTAGTCTGCTCAAGTAATTCAAATGGGATCTTTTCAACCAGTGACTGCACCACTTCCTTCCCATCTAGATTAGTCACCTGCGAGGTGTTTCTATCACTAGCTGTTCCGTTCTTCCGCAGTATTGTGACCTTTCTACAGTTTTCTTGACTCACGGGCTTATCATCTGCTAGTCTCTCGAGTAACCCCTTTAAGTCCTCGTCTATTTGTGCTTCCCCCGTTTCTACTTGGTTGAGATCGTAGCCTTTTGCTTTGAGCGTCTCCCTCACGATCTTTGACTTAAGCATTATTCCTACAGGCATCCCTCGGTTCTTTCTTAAGATTGTTTTCTTCGTGGTTTCCTTTGGTAACTCGGGGTGATCTTCTATCGGTTTGCCTGATTTGTCCAACCATCTCGTGAGAGGAAGACTGTCATACGTTTCCTTGTCCATGAAGGAGAAGCCATCTTTGATTTCAGGTCTATCTGCTTCCTTCTGTTCTTGTCTCTCGTAGAACTCCGTCTTCTTGCTCAAGCTGTCAGCATTTTGATGTTTATCTCGTGTTCTGTGCTCAATTATCATATTGTATCCGTCCAGGCGAACTATCCACCTCCCAATGTAACTTTGGTCCATTGAGTACGTTTTCAGCCAGCTTAATGCCCGGTTGTCGACTCGCAACTTGAATGGCTCGCTGCCTAGGTATGCCCTATATTTCTCGACAAAGGTAACCACCGCGAACATCTCTGCTTTCGGTGCTCCGTACTTCATTTCCGTGTCACTTAGGACTTTGCTCCCGTACGCTATCGGTCTCAAGACTGTCTTCCCGTTCCACTCTTGTTCTTGGTGAAGGATTCCAGATATCGCTACTACCGACGCGTCCGTATCCAGT